CGAATTCCTCGCGGCGGTAGACTATAAAAGCGCTAACATTACTAATTTTGTAAAATTTCATTTATATTAAGTTAGAAACCGAATCACACTTAGGTAGGATTCATTATAAATTACAAGCGTGTTAATCAAGTAAAATCTTGTCATTGCGATAGCGTCGAACACAAAAATCAAATATCAAATTTAGTTAATATTGCGAATGCGAAGTTTGCTTTATCAGAGACCCGACTCAGATACGGTCCAATACAAAGTATTGAATAGCGAGTTTCAAATCGTTAAATTCACAATTGTCAATTACATATTATTTAATTCATCAAATATTATTATTATTATTATTCAAGATCTATCTAGTTTCTCTATTGTAATTAATCATTTATAATTTCTATACTTTTCCTTATTTGTTGTTATTGTTAATTGTTAGTTTCATTTTCTTATCGTTTTATTGAATAAATCTAATTGTTGAAAGATTTTGATCTGTGGATTTCACTCCTTAACCGCACACCACACGAATCCCACAATCTTAATTTGTAGAATCGAGTCGTTTAGAGGTAAAAGCCGCTCTTTACCTTTTAGCGCTTGTAATAAACTGAACTTAGGTTCCAGGGTTGTTACATTTGCACGATACGATATCCAAATTACAACACAACGACACTTTCTCCTCAACTATCCTCTTAAACTTTGTCATACATAAATAACGTTAATTAAATCGTTTAAGTAAATAAGTTATAATTTTTTATAAAATTATAACGCTTTTTCTTCTATCATAAAATACATTATCTAGAATAAAACGACCATTTTTTAAATATATAAAATTAAATAAATAATGAAGAGACTAGTAGTGTACCAATAAATAATATAAAATAAATATAAAATAAATAAATAATAAATAAAGTAATAATAATAACTGTAATAAACTGATGCAGTTTATTAAAGCATTTGTGTCGCTCTAATATAGATGGGATTCCAAACGACCGCTCTGGCGCGGAGCCCCACTGTCTTGACTTTGTCTCCTGCGTTTTGTTTTTTGGCATTGTAAAAAAACGGCGTTGCAATTTTCTTTTGTTGTTTCTTAAAAATGAAAATCTGCTCTATCGCATGCCATGGTTTAATTTTCCACTAGACCTTTGCATTTTAAGATAAATTAAAAAATATACATAAAAATTGGTGCAAAATCGGTCTCTCTCCGTGTTCAATGATTGTTTAAACATATTTAAATATTCTGAAAAAATAAAAAAACAGATACCGTTGTATTCAGGAAGGTTATAAAATCATAGTTACCTCACAAAATTAATTTGAATCTGAAAAATGTGCTTTTTCTTAAAAATCAAATTTCCCAAACACTATGTGCTGGTGACAAATGGCATGCAGATTCGTAATGAGCACAAGAAAAGCTATATCGATCACTGAACAAAAGTCGAAATGCCAATTGGCTGTTGGATAATGTAATTAATAGGCTGGGATCATAAAGTTTTTTTTTTTATTACATTTCAATAAAAAGTGAAATACTGTTTACAGGAAAAAGTTCTTAATATACAAATTCTTCCCGAGATGTTTGAAGGTCTTTGATTGCAGAAGAAGAAACAGTTTCTTATTTGAATAAAAGAAACCATGCAAATTCTTAAACAATTGTATCCTAGTTATTTTTTAATTAATTCAAAACAAATTTTTTCTGTAGAAATTTGATTTTTGAAAAACTTCTCTTAAAATTAAACTGCGTTCTTATCGTTTTCAGAGAGCACGTTCCGAGTGACGTTGCAGAAATGCAGCCGAGGTCTTGGCCTGAGCGTTTCCGGTGGTGGTACCGCTGGTCCAGTTAGGGTGAAAAGACTGTTTCCTCAACAACCTGCGGCCTTGTCTAACAAACTTCAACCGGGTGATATACTTCTTACTGCCAATGGAATTGCTTTGACTGGTCTCACCAACTATGTAAGTTTAAGCTGTCATATTACTCCCTTTAAATGTAATTAACACGTTGTATGCCATGAGTGCTACAAACAAGACTGGTTTGATAGTTAACCCTTTGCTTTATAATATCATCTGCTATACATGACGCACATAACTGTGAAAATGCGTCAAATTTAGCTTATATTTTCACCACAATTAAATTTCGAGTTTAATTTTAACTACAACCGCCTACCTATGATCTCCATACCTAGAATAGGATTAATACGACCCTGAGCAAAACCATTGCACAGTAAAACATTTCTTAATTTTTAACTAAAATGTTCAGTAATGAATACGAGAATAATGGGGCAATTTTCAAAAAATTACAATCCCTCCTCCAAGGCAAATGACTCGCGAATAATAATCGACTACTAATTTTACTTTCCCATTCTACCGTGCTGTAGAGATACGAAAAGTTGCCACATTTTTCATTTCTAAGACAATCGAATTATAAAAAACAGGAAAGAGAAACTGCAAGTATAAATTCGAAAATTACCTTACGCTTAATAGCACTGTTGAACTCGTGTGCTGTTTTACAGTAATTAGAAAATCTACTACATGTGATATTATACATTCCAACTTTAAAAAATTATACAATTTGCTATATACTTCGATGTATGCTTAAATATTAATACGAGTTTAGATAACAGTTTTCATAAGATAACAAATAATTGCAATTATTATACTTTCGTATAATATTTTTAATTCGTTTTAACACGAAGCTGACCTTTGTTTAGTCATTGCCACCAGTCGTTTTCCTTCATCGCTGTCACCGAGCTCAAACACGATCAACTGGTTACGACAAAATAGCGATTACTATAGCTTTAGATAGAAGCTACGGGTTTGTCTTCTCGTAACTCTTAGAGATTTGCATTTGATTAGCATAATGTAACTACATCCGGAACTCGTAGCAAAAATAGACACTATCTTGCGTAAAGTTACCAGTTTGTCCCTCGAGAATCAAGCTACAATATAATACCCAGTTTATAACATGTACCGCACCCTATGATTTTCCTTCTAAATAATAGAGAAAATAGTATTTGAACTGTGTAACGTTAAGTAGCAAAGTGTAATATTATCAGTTTACAGTAAAATTATTAATATGGGCATAAGCTACGCATAATTTGAATTTATCTTAAAAATTGCAGAAGAAAGTAAATTTGATTTATGTTTAAGGTGCAACGATTAAAAGTTTGTATTAGAAATATTATCGATCTAATTCATCTTTTGAATAATATGTATATTAATTACTTCAAATTATATGACAAAATAATAAATTGTCTAAGTCAATAAATACACTGCTCAAAAGAAATATGGCATAGAAAAATTTTAGGCAAAAATTGGCCAAATTTGACTGATGACAACTCTGTGAAAAATCATCGTAAAATTATGTTCTTTCTTTTATATTAAAGCTTGAGATCTCTACTTTAAGACCCTGCAGTTCGATTTTAGATTTGATGCATCCTTACCACAATAACACCGTAAATGTGAGGTTATGTTTGCTATATTGAAAATTCCAAAGTTTGACGAAATGCATGGACTTGCCACACTTTTTTTTGGTGGTACCGTTTACAGGAGTATAAAGTACAAATCTTTATCTTTATCCCGCTATAATCTTTTAATTTTGCGCCGCCTCCGAAAAGGTTGAAATGTATTTAATATACTATCTAACGAGTAAATAGGTTTCATTCATATCTGTTACGTAATTGTATGATTGAATGAAATAGAAATTACTTCATTAGGAAATAGAAATTATTTTATACTTTTTAGTGCATTTCGAAGACGGCGTATTTTTTTTCTTAAAATTATTTTGTTTCACCCTTTTTAGTGGAATGAGGAGAATTGTATAGGATATTGTGAGACAGTTCTTCCGGGCTTTTTTTTTGTCTGCGTAAATGCCATGAACATAATTAAGTAAAAAACAACATGGATATTCCTTTTTCAATTTTTTTGCAACAATAATCCTTTGCAACTAAAAAATGAAAAAATTTTTGGTAATGGTACCAATGGGGAGTCAGTCTCTACAAGATGCGAAAGGCTTTGTTCCGATCGGACCACCCACCTAGGAAAACCCGGCGAACATGCATAGAAAAAAAAATAAGGGACACTCTTTCAGGGACAAGTACAAACTAATTACATCATGATTGAGGGTGCTTCACTCATTTGTTCTTTGTTAACTTTCTTTACAAAAATTTATTGCGCATGTGTATCTCTTACGATTTAGGACTGCGCAAGGGTCAAAGTATCCGTAAAATAATAGCAGATCCTACGCAACAAATTTTCTAACAAATCAAATTGATGCATTTTTAGAACGATACGCAGACTGTACCAAGCAATGGGAATAATACACCAACGTCAACGTGAACTCATCTTGCTG